GCCATTCCTCCTCAATTTGTCATTCCTGCCATAGTAAACCAAATGATTGTCAGGTTCAAAATGGCCAATACAAGTACACTTCAGCTCACTAATGCTTAGGAAACAATGTTTATGCATTCTATTTCATTTTTGACAATTTCCAGTTTTCCTAGATTCATACTTTGTACATTCCATGTTCCGATTATTAATGGATATTTACAGCTTTTTTTCTTCATTTTGAATTGTGCATCATCATGGCCAACCCACCTTTGAGGACACACCTCTTCCCTAGTCTTATGTTGAGTACCTTCCAACTTTAGGGGCTCATCATCCAGCACTAAATCTGACAATATTCTGGTGTTCTTCCTCATGTTTCAATAATCTGTTGTTGACAGTTTTCCACTGCTAGTCATACTGTTTTTAGTGACTAAAAGTTCAGAAGTATTCCATCTCTTCTTCTTCCTAGTCTGTCTTCATCTGGAACATGTCTACCGTGGGTGATCCTGTTGGTATTTAAAATACCTGTGGCATAGCTTCCAGAATCACAGCAACACACAAGCCACCACAGTACGGCAGAGTGACAAATGTGTGGTGTTAACTTAAAGGCTGGCAGTTCAAACTCACCAGCTATTCTATGGGAAAAAGATGAGACTGTCTGCTTCTGTAAGGACTGATAACATTTGAGACCCTATCAAGCAGTGCTCCTCTGTCTCATAGAGTCCCTGTGAGGTGGACTTTACTCATTGGTAGTGGGTTTTGTTTCATTTTATTTTTAATTTTGAACACAAATCCTTTTATCAGATTTTGCAAAGATTTTCTTCTAGTTTGTGACTTGTCTTTTCATTCTCCTACTTTTAGTATGATTTTTAAGGGTCTATGTGGTTATTTTTCTTGTGGTCTTCATAATAAAAATTATAATAATTTTTGTTGTGGGCCTATAGTCTAAAACCTATCAATTAACAGACAATAGGAGAGTAGACATTTTTTTTCCCTCCTTTGCAGCAGCATCTAAATACACCAGGTCTAATAATAGAACAGAAAGGGACCGAATAGAACTTCTCCAAGATGCTGAACCTTTGGACTTTAATGCAGACACATTCACTGATGATCCTCTTGAATCTGAATCAGGAAGGTAAGACCCAGCTGTGTCGGTTTGGCTATGGCATTCCTATGGCTTTTTAATATGATACTGACCTGACTAGGTTGAAAACAAGTAATAAATCAATATAAAGGAAAGTGTTCCTCTTTACTAACATAAAAAGCATATTCAGCAATCCTTGATTCCTTTTTATACTTTCTAATGCTTTGTATTAACAATATAGCACATGCTGGTGTTAATTGAAATTGGTACCTTCCTCCACTTTCAGAGATATTATCAGTGAGATCGGAGAATTGAAATAGATAGCAAGAACCCTAGCAATATTTATGTACCAATTTCTAACAATCTCGTTTATGAAACATCATGTTTAATTTACAACAGCTGCATAGTTTTTTCAGCATGTTAAACTCTGTTTTAAGCCCTGTAAAAACAATGTCTTACAGTTATAAATTCAATTGCATTTGAATTCCAAACAAGCTAAGGAACATGCTCAAAGTTATAGCTTGTAAACACAGGCAGTTCAACTTTCAAACTAAAATCTGGTTGCAGAATCGTGTTTTTAGCCATCTATGCTATGAGGAAATAATGAAAAAAAAACTAAATGTCATACTCCAGAAGAGATTTGCTTTAGCATTGTTTAGTCATGTCTAGAGCTAACAGATGATCAAGACCCAGTGATAGTGATGGAAGAAGTCCTGTGAAGGAAGAAGAAGGTGTACTGATTTTGTTGTTGTTAGTGCCATCAAGTCGGGTTCTGACCCATAGCAACCCTGTATAGGGTTTCCAGGGAACAGCTGGTGAGCTTGAACCTCAGACCTCCTGATTCAAGTAGACTTCCCAGCCCTGTGCATTAACCAACAGCGCCACACCAGGACTCTAAGGTGTACTGAAGGCACTGGCAAATAATAAGGCTCCGGGAATTGATGGAATACAAATTGAAATCTTTCAACAAAGTAATGCAGCACTGGAGGTACTCACTCATCTATGCCAAGATATTTGGAAGGCAGCTACCTGACCAACTGATTGGAAGAGATCGTATTTATGCCCATTCCAAAGAGATGTGATCAACAGAATGCAGAAATCATTGGACAGTATCATTAATATCACATGCAAGTAATATTTTGCTAAAGATAATTCAAAAATGGCTGCTTCAGTACAGTGACGGGGAACTGCCAGAGGTTCAAGCCGGATTCAGATAAGACTACAGAAAGAAGGATATTTTATTGACTTCAGATGGATCTCAGCTGAAAGCAGAGAATAACAAAAAGATGTTTACCTATGCTTTATTGACTATGCAAAG